AAGAGACATGAAGAAGAGGGGACACATGTTGATGTAGAAGAGACATGAAGAAGAGGGGACACATGTTGATGTAGAAGAGACATGAAGAAGTGGATTTTGGGTAATAGGTCCCCTTTAAGTATCGTGTCCTTGCACGACAGCACTCACACTAGCACAGGTTTCCCAGCGATGCGAGGGTGCTGGAGGACCTCGGCCATGGTCTCCCGTAACTCCTGGATCCTCTGGACGTCGCTGGAGTCGACCACAAACACCACGCCGTGAGACTCGGAGTAGTAGTTCTTCCAGATGCCCCGGATCCTCTTGCCGCCGCCCAGATCGAAGATGGTCACCTCGAACTTGCCCTGCTTCAGGTCCACCTTGGAAAACCCCACCGTGGGGGCCACGTCCTGGGGGTTCTCTGCGGGAAGCAGCAACGAGAGCTCGCGTTAGCAGAGGCAAGGCACAGGAAGGACATGCTGATAAAAACACACTTCATACACGTTATTAACAAACGGTACTAACCTCCTTGGATTCCTCGTACTGTGGCCGTCTTCCCGGCATTATCCAGACCCACCATCACCAGAGTCACTTTCCTGTAGAGAGGAAACACAGAGATCAGCGTCGGTCATTATGCATGTTCACAAACCTCCTAAGAAAGGCCCCAAAGGAAGTCACCCTGCAGACCTTCACTTGGGAAGAAAGTATTGAGGATCTCAACGTTTCTTAACAGTCCAGAAAACGTACTGTTGCAAAGCACTTGTTGGGTGAATGTGTAACTTTCATAAAAAATATGTAAGACTTCCACCACTGTTTACTAGATTTTTGAATAATAATCACAAACTGATTTCACTCAAACCCAACTAACATATCGGAAATAAAAGAAATATTGAGTTTAACACATTTTGCTCTCCAAAGAATAAAGGTGAACCTGGAGACACTTTTTAAACTGACCTTTCAAAGACATTATAAGTTGAGAATCTTTTTATTGGATGTTTATGTAGAGGAAACCACCAGGAACAAAAGGACTCCTAATACCGGAGAGGAGATTAACATAAGTTGTACACATAAACAAAAACTGTCTCGTCTCCTGAGTAAATACTTAACTTCGCGACCTGCGCCGAAAAGACATGAACCGCACTATCCATCTAACTGTCCTCTGGAGCCAGGCGCTTTCCATCGGGGCGTCCTCTGGCTGTAAACCTCCATGAGGTGACACGAGGCGAGACCAAGTGTCTGCCCTTTGTCCTCCATGCTACAACCCCTTCACAACAAGCGGTCAGAAGCAGAGACCCGCGGCACAGACCTGCTGCAGGATTAGGGGAGGATTTAGTGACTTAGAGCAGAGGATCAGGCGCCTCACAGGAACCACGTGGGATAAACACTCTGAATTACATTTTGCTTCTTCACACCTAATGTCTGGCGTCGGGTAAAAACACTTATGTAAGGATTGTGAGCCCGAGGCATCATGAGGGGTGCAGAGCAGAGGGGAAGCACTGTCCTTTATAATCAACGTTTATTAAGCTCAACATTGATTCAGCCACCAAATATGACCTTGATTCATATTCTAACTGTTTGCTGCTCCATGGAAATGTCAAAGAATAACCAAGTGAACAGTTTTTACAAACACCTTTCAACACGTCTGACTGACTTCCTCTACACCAAGACACTTGTCAGCACATTTCTGTGTTTGCAACGTGTTGAAAGGTGTGTGCAGTGTACATCTTGTTCCCTCTAGAAAAGTGCTTTCCTTGGATTGTATTGGCTGTGATGGAACAAGAGAGCTGAAACACATGCATGATTGAGATGAATAATATCCCACTTTGTACTTTGGTCAGAATCCACTGAGCTTAGATCTGTCTGATCGGTCAGTGGTTAAATTAAAGTGTATTATATTAACCTGCTTCAACCTAATAAATCACATCAGCCGTCAGAGGTGGGAGAAGTACTCAGATCTGGTACTTCAGTCAAAGTAGAAGTACTCAGATCTTGTAGTAAAAGTAGAAGTACTCAGATCTTGTACTTGAGTAAAAGTAGAAGTACTCAGATCTTGTCCTTGAGTAAAAGTAGAAGTACTCAGATCTTGTACTTGAGTCAAAGTAGAAGTACTCAGATCTTGTACTTGAGTAAAAGTAGAAGTACTCAGATCTTGTCCTTGAGTAAAAGTAGAAGTACTCAGATCTTGTACTTGAGTAAAAGTAGAAGTACTCAGATCTTGTACTTGAGTAAAAGTAGAAGTACTCAGATCTTGTAGTAAAAGTAGAAGTACTCAGATCTTGTACTTGAGTAAAAGTAGAAGTACTCAGATCTTGTACTTGAGTAAAAGTAGAAGTACTCAGATCTTGTCCTTGAGTAAAAGTAGAAGTACTCAGATCTTGTACTTGAGTAAAAGTAGAAGTACTCAGATCTTGTACTTGAGTCAAAGTAGAAGTACTCAGATCTCGTACTTGAGTAAAAGTAGAAGAACTCAGATCTTGTACTTGAGTAAAAGTAGAAGTACTCAGATCTCGTACTTGAGTAAAAGTAGAAGTACCAGAGTGTAGGAATACTCTGTTACTCAGATCTAGT